GCTTTTCTAGTGTTTTCGAGTCTTTTTGAGTCATTTCAGGATTAGGAACTATTTGGCATGGATTGGAGCTTTTTGGAGCATTTGGAGAAGATGTGTCGAAGGAATGTACCGGGAAAGCATATTTGGTGTGGGTGTCGAGCGTCACAACTTCTGGTGTCGATCGACACCAATATCTGACAGCAATTGAATTTCTCGCTTAATTGAAGTTCAGAAGATTTGCAGATTCGGCCCAGAAGTTTCCCTTATTTGCAATTAAGCCCAGTTCGTGGTTAAGACATATATATTGAGTTTTTAGGGTTTTGTTAAGACTTAAGCTTTATTTTGGAGAGAGAGATTTGTAGAGAGTCAGGAGAGAAGAATCAAAACCTCCTTAAGAGAAGATTCAGAACTCCTTTACTTCTTCTATTACTTTCTTTTATGATATCTATTTTATTCATGATGTTTGTTTCATTCACCATGTCTGAGTATATCTCTTGTTAGGTTTAGGGTTTTCAAAGGAATTCATGAATTGTTAGGTTGTTAGATTGTTAGGATTTAATCAATAGAGCTCTTCATCTAGATTGTGGTTAATTTGTTCTAGAGTAGTGAAAGCAACCTAGAATCTGATCTTAGGTTAATTGGTAGACACGAAAGTGTTATTGATTTACTGAAAATAATCTAGATGAGCAGAATACCTTTTCGCAAAGAGATTTGGTTTAGGGATTTTGTGAACTTATCAAACCTGAATTAAATGCATGTCTTAAACTTATAAATTTGCAAAGAGATTTGGAATTTAGGGTTCTAGACATAGGTAGTCTTTGCAACGAAAGTTGATTGATTATATTTTTGTGATTTGAGTTCAAGAACGGTGATTTATAAATCCTGACAATTATTTATTTGCAATTCTGAATTTCCTGAGAATATCCCTAGGCCTAGTGTTTTCTCATTACTGTTTAAAAACCAATCTTTATTTTAATTTGCTGTTTTTATTTGATTTAAAACCTGCTTGTTTAGCTTAATTTTAATACCGAATATTTACTGTGTAATCTTTGAGTGTCTGTGGATTCGATCCCTAAGTACTACAGTGATTTCTTAATTGAAAGAGTAGCTCAGGGCAAATTTGAGCCGATCAACTAACATGTTACGAAGCTTTTTTTGATTAGTTTTGTTTGTTTCCAAGTTATAAATAACAGTGATCGTTCAAGAACATGTAATAAACAACATTGTTGAACACTAATTTTTCTTCAAAACATCACGATAAAAACCTATAGAAATAGCTTATAATAATAGTTTAAAGGTTTCGTTTTATAAATTGCAGAAGAAAGATATAAAAAAAAAAAAGCAAAACAACGTGTCTTTTTCCCCACTTCGTCGTTCTTTGTTATTCTATTCTTAATTCGTTGTATAGGCGCATATCAGCTTTTGTCTCTTTTACAAATATTCTCATGTTAAGAAATTTCACTTTCTTGTTTAGTAAAAACATGTTCTTTGAAAAGAAAAAGAACAAGACACGTTCCTTGAGTATTGTGCAGTCAGTGTAAATCTTAATCGGATCTCTCTTTGTGCTTTGTGGAATGTACCAAAGAACCTATTCTTTTCTTTTTTCTCGGGAGAAAGAAGACACAATAATGTTTTAAATATACTACTACTTCTTTACATTTCATATAACTTTTATTCCCAAATTATCTGAAAAATTGTTACAAATTATATATAATACTAACTTTTATTATAGAATAAAAATAAAGAAGTTTGGTATTTGATAGCTAAAAAAGATAAAGCCTTAAAACTAGGGAAGGGACATACGACAGTAAACCCATTGTACGTCGTTCTGATTCTGTATGTTGAAATGACGACACTACCCTCACAAATCAACATATATATAAGAAAGAGACAATTTAATTGTTTTCATGTTTTATTTTTCCTAGCTACCAAAATTATTTTTATTTCAAGTTTCTTATTTTTTATTTTTTTTGTCAATTTTAGAAAAGTGATGGACCAGTTAATAATAACTCAGCTTTCAGTGAGTGCAACACTCTAGTAATATCCCTAATTAGGATTAATCTAGAAAATTGAATATAGTGACCCACATGACAAAATATAGAAATTAAAATAATAATCTGTCGTGAGTACTCATTATAACATATGGTCCAAAACTCCAAAAATGGTCCTTGCTTACTTATTCAGTTCTTAAAATTATATTTCTTGGATCAAAGAAACTCAATGATGGTTATCTACACTTTTAAATCATACTTAATGACCATAATACACTAATGGAATGGGAACATAATCAAGACTTTAATCATTATGATTCTACCAGGCTCGGTGCCCCAATTATAACATTTGATTTCTTTTTTTAAATAACCACAAAAGATTACAGATTTTTAATTTTAAAAAAAAAACGAAATTTATACAATTACAAGTAGTAGTAGTCTTCATCCATATCCATATACCAAAATTAACAACAACAAAAAAAAACCTTCTAAACCATTCCCCCCAAAAAATTAAAACCCTTGAGCTAATAACCACTAGAAGTCTAGATCGATTGAATCGATCACATACTCACATCTAATCCGAATTGAAATGATATAGAAATACGTCGTTTTCGAATTATTAAGTATTAGACATCGACTCACATTAACCACTTAACCGACTAATTAAGTAATTAAACCGGAAAATCTCACTTAAACCAGAACCCTTCCTTTTGAAGAAGAGGCTTTGGTCATCTTCTTCTTCAGATTCTGAGTAGATAGATACTAAGCTCAGGAGCTCCATTACTATCAGGGTTCATCATATAGAAAGCTTCTGAATCACGCGATCCAACGATTCTCTCGAACTTCGCTCTCATATACATCACATCTCCTCCTCCGTCTCCGCCGCCTGTCTCCTCCGTCTCCGGTAAAACTCCGGCGCCCATTGAAACCATCTCGAGAGCTTTCAAAACCTTTTTCTCCTTCTCACCACACTCTCTCCTCGTAGCGAATCCACACTTTTTCCCGTTACAGTAAGTCCTCCACATCGGCTCCTCAACCAACCGCCGTGAACTCGCCGTCGCCGTCGTCGTCTTCGTCTTGTCTCCTCCGCCGTGACGTAAAGTTTTGTTTTTTTCTTCTCCCTCTTCCTCCTCCTTCCCCTTATCACACTCCAGAGCGATTCTGACGAGTCCTGAAGCCATCTCTTTGACCAACCCACTAATCGGAGTAGCGAGCTCGATCAGAAACGCCGGCGAAGAGTTAGGATCTTTCTGGATAGAGAAATGCACGTGTCCACGACGAGATCCGAAAAGAGTACCCACGACCCGTGACCCGAGACCGGAGTGGTGGTTACCGGGTCGTGCTCTGCTTAAAGAAGCTATAACAGAACGGAGACGAGAGACGGCGAAAGATTGAAGCTTTCGTTTGGGAGTGAGTACATTAGATGAAGAGGAAGAGGAAGGAGTGTGTTTGGAAACGGGTTTAGTGTTGTTATCAGGAAGAGGGTTGTGGGTAGAAGAAACGTCGTCGTGTTCGTCTGAGCCGACTTTTCTGGTCCAGTGGAAACTATTGTGTCTCTTGGAGGTAAAGTCATGAAGAGAGTCTCCTTTCGCCATTGGAAGAGAAGAAGAAGAAGAAGCTTAAAGCTGTTTAGAGAGAGAGAGAGAGAGAGAGAGAGAGGTAGAAGAGAGAATTGGGGTAATGATCAAAGTTGTTGGTGTGAATTTAACTTCAGGGTTTGGTCTATTTGGTGACTATAACTCTCTTTTTTCTCTCTTCTTTTTATTTCTATCTATCTCTGTCTCTCACTTGTCGTTGTGAGTGAGGAGGAGAGAAGAGAAAAAAGATAATACAAATTGACACAGAATCGACTGTGAAAAGGACCCACCATTTTCATCTTTTGTTAACAAAGGATTTCACACAATTTTAAAGTTATAATTAGAGAGTTTCATATATATAATAGTGTAGATTTGGCTTTTGCTTTTTAGTTCAATATTTAGCCTATTTAGGTGCCAAGTGATTCGAACTTGTGATTTTATTAGTTTTAAGTTATTTTAAAAAAAATAAAATCAAATGGTTGCATATATATTCTCTAGAGAATTTGTTTCTTTAATGGATTTTGTTCGTTTTGTCAGAGAAAAAAAATTCAAAATATATAAAGAGAATTCAAAGAAGAGAGGAATAAACGTTTTTTTTTTTTTGTAAAATTAATGTTCTATATCTAGACCTTTTTAGTTAATATGGATTATATATATATATATATATGTAAGCTTAGGCGTAATGCAAATATAAAATATGAAATTAAATGTATATAAAGGAGAGTATAAAGTTGAGATATGGTGCTGAATTTTGTAAATGTGGGAACTAGTTTAGTATATTAATTAGTAGTTAATTATAAGAGAATAAAGGTA